GGAGTGGAGATAGTTAGAAGATAGACTTTTGAAAAATTATACTTGTTTTGGAGATCTGACTTTGGAATCATGTAAACTTTTGCATAGTGATACAATTAAATTAAATTGGTAAAAAGCAATCCCTGAAAAATATAAGCAGAATCAATCAAATGAACTTAATTGTACTCTAGGTAATTGACATAACCACACAGAGAGGAACTATTCTAAGTAACTTTAAACCTTAGCAGTTTGACTGAACAACTAGTAGAATGTCGATGAAAGACAAAAAGAACTGCCAAAAATAAAATTGTAAACTTTTTAATTGTGATCTTGTTGGGGAAGTGTTGGTAGCGCTATTCTGAGAGAGTTGCATGTGTATTGTGGTTTAGAGCAGATGAGTCATTAGGTCAGTGATATTGAAAACTGGGATTTTCAACCTACAAGAAAGAATATATAGGTGTAAGATCAATGAGGGTAAGTAAAAATCCTTAGTTCTGCATTTGAATTGGATGATGTATTTTATCTAAAATAAAACCAAAAATATTTCCTACTCCATTTTTTGAAAAATGGCCAACCCAATAATAATGTTATCTTCAATTAAAAGGAACAGCTCCTTTAAGAAATGTCTGGTACCAGGTCAGGGACAGTTAAAGTACAAGGTAATCCTAAAACATCTTGTTTTTAGAAAGCAAGAAAGCTACCAAAGACTACTTAGGATCACATTGTAAAGACACAGGAACTAAGTTGAAGAGGCTATCACTAGCCAAGGACAGGACAATTTGAGCAATTAGGGCAGCAATTCTCAAGGATTGAAACACATTTAATATGGTTAAATTCATGAATTCCTAATGATATTTTAAAACAAACATCATCCATCACTCTGAGAGAATGTAAGGGAACCAACTTTTTGTTCTGAAAACTGTTAAGGAAAATAATTGGCATTTATTCTGCCTTTTTTCTATGAACTTCATCTTTGGATAACCTGAGATGGGATGAGGGAAAATTTCTCTTTAAAGAGATATTCTAGTTGTTTAAAAGAAGAAGGAAAGATAGAAGTAAACCATTTTGCAACCTCTGTGAAATAATGGATCCAGATAATGCTCATCATGGTTACTAACATTAGAAAAAGAGAGACCACCAGATAGTATATGTCTTTTGATGGAAGAAATCTAGACTACCTATGAAATAGTCTTGCTAAAAAAAAAAAAAAAAAGAATCTGAACCTAATTAAGCTTGTAGAACTAATGACCAATTTATAGGTAATATGGGGAACTGAGGAACAATTTTTGATAAAGGATTCAGTAGGCAAAATCCAGACTATTTGAAACTACAGAACAAAAGGACTGGTTTTTTAAAGTATATTGTGAAGAAGTGAAAAAATAATGGAGGGGGAACCTTATAGACTAAAAGTGACTTAAAAGCAAATCAGTCAATCAGATTGTATGACCCTTATTTGGATTCCAAATTATGGAACAACTGGGAAATTTGAATATAAAGGTGAAATAGAGATTTTTAGAAAACAAACAAAAAAAATCTTGAAGCTAAGAGAAGTTAGACTAGACAAAAAATATCCTATAGATAGTCTATAAATGTAATTTTTCTCTTCTCATCCAAATTACTCGTTTAATTTGTTTGATCGTTGAGGCTCTTTGATGAAGTGTATTTGAATTGTCGCAGGTGGATGTGTGTATATTTGTAATTTAGTGATATGGGGAATGGACATTTGTAACTAGAGAATAAAGAAGGTTGATCATTGTGACCAGGGCCAATGGACATTTTGTAGAGCAGGTACAGCCAAATGGTTTTAAAAGTAATTAAATGTAAACAGGATTTGGTACCACTTAATTTAACTCTTCTTTCACCAGAGTGATACCAATTGGTGGAAAGGCACCTCCAAAGGCAGAACTGGACTAATCCCAAGCAACTATGGTAAGCATGGTTCCTGTGGCTGTACTATGGCTCTACTCAGTGTGCTTTCAATTACCTGGTTCCTAAGGCCCTTCTGCTTGCTGCTTTGGTTGAGAAATCAATGGAGTTGTTGTCAGTCTAGGACACTTTCCCCATGAGCCTCCTGTTAAGAAAATGGTCATGGACACCCGAGGGGCTTGAGCCTTGACAACTTGGCTTAAGAAAATGCACTGTAGCATTCTTGAAAGAACCCTAGGTTTCTAAGGAAATACTTATGGTTTTATTTCATTAAACTCTTAGAGTGTTTTTCTTCCTTTTTTTCCTTTTCGTTCTTTTTTTTTTTTGCTGTTAAACCAATCTCATGGATGATTTCTTAGACTAGCCCTTTCTTTTCTGATGAAGTAACCCTGCCTTGTAAATCATGTTTGGAGCAGTGATGTTCTTTAAATGCATATCAAGGCAGTTTAGGGAGCTTGAGCCGTGAGATGCAGTCCCTACCATGAACCCGCTTCTAGCTGGAAGGGGCAAAACAGACTTTCGTAGAAATCAGCAGAGTAAGGTAAAAAGAGCACAGGATTGGCAAACGCAGGTCCTATATTCTAATCCTTTTGCTTCCACTTCCTAATAACAAGGGACCTTAGCGAAGGCACTGAACTGCTGCTTCTGGCACTGTTTCCCCATCTGTATAATGAGAAGGTTTAAGTTAAATCACTTTTAAGGATTCTTTTGACGTTAACAATAGATAAATCCTTAAACCAATAGGGCTGGCATCAGGCACCAGTTCCAAGCACTGGAAGGGACCTAGAAAATTTTAAGGAAGGCACTTTAAAGCTCCTAGGGGAAGGGAGGAGAGAAAGAGAGGGGATCGAGAGCTGAGGCTTGGGGCCCAACACAGAAACTCCACTTGCCCCGGTTTTAGGGTGTACCAGTATGGATTAAAAAAAGATTTCAAACATTTCTATACTCCTCTAACCTTGGAAATCCCAAATACACTTCTACCACACACTCCATTTCTGAGAGTGTAAAATGTTCCTTTGTGGCTTTGGATCCCTGGTAGCCAAGGGAGTGTCCAGTTATAGTCCTTTATGGTCAGAGGGAGTGAGTCTGAAGTCTCATTTGAATAGCAGTGTTCATGCAGTCACTTCTGATTCTAGGACAGCAACGAACACAGCTTCCTTGGAGGCACTTGGAGGTGTACTGATTGCCCTCTCTGAATATAGGAAGCAAAATATTTTCCCCTCATGCTGCCTCTCACATGTATACATACAAGCGAAACAATTTTAGCTGTCTTCTTGTTGGATATTTTTACAGAATGTAAAAATGAACATCATATGCTTGCTTTTTTATTTTTGTGACTAAATTTATAAATACTTGAATAAACTGGTGTGCGGGCCAAGGACCTGTTTGTTTTGTTTATGCTTCCACTTAATTGCTATGTTATTGTCTTACTGCTTAGCTTGGTTTCATTTAACACATAATTAGCTTCTTTTGAAGCAGGAAATATCAGTTTGACTTTTGTGCTATTTTTTTTTCCCACATTTAGTAAGGGAAGCTGAATTGTCGAAGGCCCTGGCACTCGGGAAGCTGGGGGACAATGAAGGCTTTAGTGAATCATTTTGGTGACACTCAACATTGGGTTTGCACTTTTTCTTTTCAATCTAGTGGCTGAGCAGGCAGAATCCATTGACAATCCATTGCATGAAGCAGCAAAAAGAGGTAGGTGTGATTCTTTTTGATTGAGATACATAGTACAGTGAAAGACACAGGTTTTAATTATATAGTTTAATGACTTTTGATAAATGTATACACCCACATAACTAACACCCAGATCAAGATCTAGAACACTGTATCGTCCCAGAAAGTTTTCTTTCCAGTTAAATCCCTGTTTCTCCTAGAGGCAATCAATCTCTGTTCTGCTTTCTGTCATTCTAGAGAGATAAGTGTATTTTAATTTTAAAATGGGTACTTTACGTACCCCTATGTTTAGTGGCAAGTGGAGAGGCATGGTCTGTGACTCCCAGAGCTCAAAATCTGGAAGGGGAGAGATGTGTTTAACAGAATAAGGTGGTGTGATAAGCATAGCAGTTGAAGTGTGCTTAAGATAGAGGCCAGAATGAATAACAGTGTGGGAGCAGAGTGGGGCCTTCTTGCAGGTACAGCGTCTAGGAGATGTTGATGTAGTGCAAGTGAATGGGTGTGGGTGGAGTTGGAGAAGGAGGGAGCAGTAGGATGGGCCTCATACCTGTGGCTTTATCTTGTAGATCAGTGGTTTTCACTGAAGGTAACTCCTCCCTTCATACCATCTTGTAGATCAGTGGTTCTCACTGAAGGTAACTCCTCCCTTCATACCCTGGGACATTTGGCAATATTTGGAGACATTTTGACTGTCATGACTAGGGGGATGCCACTGGCACCTTTTGAGTAGTGGCTAGGGATGTGCTAAATATCGTACAGTGCACAGGACAGCCCCCAAAACAGATTTCTCCAACCCCAGATGTCAAAAGGGCCACTGTTGAGAAACTCTGCAGTAATGGGGTGTTTTTGCAAGGCCTCAGAGAACTCTCTTTCATTCTATTTGTTTTAAGTCTTTTTGAATCACATATGCAAAAGCAAATGATTGGTTTAGGATTGTGCATAAGTAGAACTATGAAACTGACATTTCAAACATTTTTTGTAAATTAGATATTTAGGCCATTAGCCAAGATTTTAAATGAGTAGTTATACTTTAACATATAAAAAAGCAGCAACTTTGAGTCGGTTACTCAATATTTCTTTCTTGTAAGAGCCGAAAGTACATTTTAAATATGAATACAAGTGTGTCTCCTTGTTCTTAGGCATGACTGTTTTTTTCCCCCAAGTTCCAGGAATTCACAAAAGAATATATATGCATGTGTGTGTATATATATATATATTTGGTTTTTTTACAGAGTAAAAATAACTTATGTAGACCTTTTAGGTAACTCTTCCCATTAACTTACCATTAAAAATTGATGTTAATGCTTTCCATTAATAAACTGGAAGTCAAAATGTACCATAATAAATGCATTACTGGGCAAGTCTTAATTTCAGACTTGCTGATTAATCCATTGCAAATGGAACTTTATACAGGATGAAATTAATCTTAAAGCAAAACAAAAACAAAACCCTATTGTGTTTCTATAAATGTAAAATTTTTTTTCAGGCAACTTGAGCTGGTTAAGAGAGTGTTTGGACAACCGAGTTGGTGTTAATGGCTTAGACAAAGCTGGAAGCACTGCTTTATACTGGGCTTGTCATGGGGGTCACAAAGGTATTATATTTTGTTTGTTTCCATTAATGTCTATGCTACTGGAAAATGTGCTTCATCTAGGGGAGTCAGATTCACAGAAATGAAAAAAACCCTGGTTATTCTTTTCAAATCCTTTTTTTTTTTCCCCAAATCCTTTAGAACAGTGATTCCCAGCCTTTTTGGCACCAAGGACTGGTGCTCCTATGAGAATCTAATGCCTGATGATCTGATGTGGAGCTGAGGTGGTGATGCTGGCACTGGGGAGAGGCT